CGCCGCGGGGCGTCTGGCGGAGCGCGCGCTGCCCAGGACCAGGTTCTGCTGCTCGGCGAGGTGCTGCGCGCGGAGGCGGACCTGCGCGGCGTGCGAGTCGGCGCGCGGGCGGGCAAACGGCTCCAGGAGCCGGTCCAGCGGCGGCATCTGCGCCGTCACCATGGCGCCGTACGAGTAGCCGCCCATCAGGAGGATGGGGCGTTGTCGCCTCGGGGCCCCGTCGGCGAAGGGGTCGAGAAAGTGGGCGTAGTGCACCGTGAAGCCCACGACGCTCGCGTAGTCGTCTCGCTCTGGCCGCGCCGTCCACGACGTCCGGCCGGCGGAGTGGCCTGCGCCTCTGCTTCAGGAGTCAGCGACCTTCTGGGTTCTTTGAAGGGGTCTGTCGTTGCCCGTACCTAAAGTTAAAGGTGGCCACGAGATAGCCCGTCCGCAGCAGGGCCGCGGCCACACTGTCCAGCGTCGGATCGTCGTAGCACCCGCCCATGGGCGCGTAGGGGTGCGCAACCACGGCCGCGTGTCTCTCCCACGGCGGCGCGCGAGGGTTGGCCGCGGCCAGCGACGCCGGGTGGTAGACGCGACAGTCGAGCACGGTGCCGTCGTGCAGGCTGGGGATGGTGAAGCTCAACGCCGGCTCGGGAAGCATCTTGCGGGGCCCTTTTATCTGTACCCGTGTTGCATTTTGGACCTTGGAGTGTCGGACGGCTTCTCCGAAGTTGGGTCTGTGTGTGGTTGTGTGTTTGTTGCGGTTTGTCTTTTTTTTTTTTTTTGGAGAGGGGGCGAGGAAAGGTGAATCGAGCTCCCAGCCTGCTTCCAGTCCGGATAAGCCACCGACTCACAGGTCCAGACTGGGCTGCAGTGCGGCCCGGCCCAGCCAGTCTGTGTGAACTTGTCATGGCTGGACGCCACGAACCAGGACCACGGCTAATTTTGTCACTGCCTGGATTATGGTACCACGTAAACTTTATTCAGTGTCGTTGCGACAAGCACGAGTGTTCCGCACACCCTACATGGTGTATAGGTGGTGAGAACCAAGAGGGCGGACAATAATAAGAGCACATTGGCACATGACCGCAGCCGACGTTCAATTATCAAGTGTGAAATGCATCATTATTCGCTACTTTTTATTTTCCCCTTTTCCTTCTCTACTGGCCCTTTTTCTCTCTGGCCTCCTTGGCCTTCTGCTTCCGTTTCCTTATCCAATTCTTGAGCTCATTGACCAGTCCCAGCACCAGCGGCACCCCTACGGGCCCCAACAAAGGCAAGTAAACCGCAATCTTGTGCTCGTCTGGAAAGTACAATTGCCCAACCATGCTCTTCTCGAAAAAGGCCCTCTCCGCCTCCTCCTCGGCAACCCGTGCATGCAACAGCCCTTCTGGTCCACCCAGGTTGGCGCACGCCTGCTCCAGGTGCTGCAACGAGCTGGAAACGCCTTCGGCAACACTGCGAGGAATAGATATCGAAGGCAGGCTGGGCGACAGCCGCGCCAGAGAGCCCAGAGACGACGAAGCCCGAAGGAGCAGGTCCATCGTTCGTACCCTGGCAAGAGAGGAGAGCCGCAGCGGGAGAGATCCAGACTGCGGCGTGCCAAGGAGAGTCAGCAGGTGGCCGCCAAACATGAGCAGAGGCTGCTTGAGGGCATTTGCCGAGACGTGCTGCTCGGTAGGGGCCAGCGGCAGGAGATATACGGAGCCCCATTGAGGAATCATCCACGACTGTGAGTTTTCGACCTGGGCACTGTCAGATCCAATGGTTTGGTTGCCGACAAAGATGATAAAGTTGACCGTGGGTGCGCCGCCAATGGATGGTGAAAGGGGCCACTCTGCGGCATTGATAAACGACGCCAAGTGCTCCTTGTTGAGGATTTGTGATTGCACGCCAGGCGTGGCATACAGTTGGACCTGCGTGTCAATGGTAAAGTTGTGAATGGGTCCCAGAACATCCAGCATTGGCTTCATGTATTCGTTGATGGCTGCATCGATATCCCACGTGTTGGGGGTGGCACCGTCGGTGAAGAGAGAAAAGCTCAGGTGGTAGGTAGGAGCATAACGCAGCGACCGGGTTGTGCGCTTCTTCAACGATTCTGCCGCCTCTTGGCCGAGACCGTGTTGCCTCGCGGTAGACGACATGGAAGACGTGGACAGCAGATACGAGATGATGGATTGCTCCTCGGAAAAGGTAGACTGGAGCTCATTGGCCATGTATGCTGCCAGGGCGGACGAGGCAGAGTGTAGAGAGGGGATCGAGTTGGGAGCATAAGTCATGTCGAGCACGGCCGAGTGCTGGCTTAGCTGAGCCGAATTGGCGTCGCCCGGAGTCAGATTGATGGTCAAGGCGGAATCTGCATCTTGTCTGCTCAGGTTGGGGGGTTTTGTGTCGCTTTTGGGACTGAGCTTGAGGCGTAAATGGTGACCGGGGAAATCGTTGAGGTCGTCGAGGGCATGCTGTGTTAAGCGGACGAGGTGCTGAGCTTCTTGGTCGGCAATAGAATCGGCACGAACAGAAATCTGCAAAGGAAACGCAGGGCGGCAGGCCTGGAAAATACATGTCAGAAGCCGCGTCGCATACAAGGAGAAGCTCTGGCAGAGTGTCGAGAGGGCATGCGGATGCAGACGTACCTTGCCGTCAGCCCATTGCAGCATTCTCTCGAGAGGCAAATCCGCGCGGTAAATTGACGTCGTCTTCCACCATATCGGCAATCCCAAAACGAGCACGATGAGCCAGAATGACAGAATGACATGTGTACGGCGTCGGGTGTGGGCGGGTTTCTCCGGAGGAGGCTGCTTGGCGATAGGTTGGGCGGCGGCTTCCTGCGCGGGCACGGACGCGTCTACTGTTATTTCTGAAGCCATTGTGTCCGATCAATCAACGGCCGTCTTGGCTCAACGTAGAGTATGGGCGTTTCGAGGATGTTGGCGACGGTTTGCGAGTAGCGGCAGGGAGAACAGTTTGTCCTTGGGCGCACCAGTGCTCGCGCTGGCCAAGTTGCAACTGTCGCAGGCTGTTCTGCCTCTGTACACTGCCGATTTCCAATGTCCAGTGTCGTGTCAGCTCTGGTTCCGGCTGTTGGTCGGTATAGCCGCCAGCAATTGGCAGTTGGCCATTGACAAAGATTCAACTGCAGATGGCGTCGTGAGATGACACTTGGAGCTACAGCCTTGCACCGGCCCCACTCGAGGTGTTCAAGCAGCCGTCAGTCGAGCCTGGCGTGCTTACCTAAGTAGACTACCCTGTACACCAGTCGACATGCTGGTGCCACGCGAGCTCCTTGTGGCAGCCGGCGGGTTGCCTGCGGGCTGTTCCTTCCGTGCAAACACGAAGTGCCTCCTACTGCCAGGCTGCAAGACACCAACCAATCCAGAAGCGCCAAAATGCGCATGTTCGATGTCAAGCGACTGGTGGTACCGGGCACAGAGCATTGAAACTTGTCATCTTCATCACCGCCGCATCCAGACACGTACGGGCTTTGCCCGGGACGGCATGTTCACCTAGCTTCAGCAACCATTCGCACTCTCTCTCACCTTACCCCTGGCCCCGTCTGTGGCCCGTCGACCCGCTCCCATAGCTCCACACCTCTTGGTCTTGGTCGAGCACCCTTTCCCATGGACCGAGGCATCTTTTTAGCGCCCCAAGCCACGGACAAGACAAAGACGCCAGCCGGATTTCGGGGTTCCTTGCGCGCCGCAAGCACGTCGCAGATGATTGCATCGAGTCTTGGCGCAAATGGCATTGCCCAGCGAAGCCAGGGCCACAGCGCGGCCTGGCGTGGCGCAACAACACATCTCGTGGATTCCACCGCAGTCGCATACTCGCGTTCCCGTTCTCTCCTTCAGCCGTTTCGTTTCCTCGCTGCGAGCCATCCGGCACTGGTTACACACGCCGCTTGAGCCGCTTTCCCCAGGGACCCCGACTTGAATATATGAACTTATATGCAGACGTCAACAACAAGCCAGAGCGCTCGTGGAATATACAAAGCACCCGTCACCACCAGAAAACACAACGGCATCCGAGCCTCTGTTGGCACCGCCGGAGTCTCCATTCCATGCCAATCTTCCGCCCCGGCTTTGTCTTTTGAGCCGCACTGCCCGCCCCCGTCTCTGGCCCAGTCGGTCGACTCACTACGCTTAGCCTCACGACAGGCGTCGTCTCAAACTGCGCATTGGTCACTGCCATCGGGCCCCATTCTCGGAGAATCCTTGCAAGCTGCAACATGATAATGCCGTTTTGAATGCGGAGTAGACTGAGCTAGGAAACCATTTGCTGTAGCCCCACGCTTCAACCGCAGACTCAGAGAGCCAACAGCCTCGGCTCAACTCCCGCTCAACATCGTGCCCGTTTCATTGATCCTGCTGTATGACGTCTGCAGAGCGTTTTCTTTTCTAATTACATTATTGACACATCGCGATCCTTGACCTTCTCGTCCATGAAAGAAAACTGCCGGTTACTACGCCCTTTCGCCCTTTAGATTCCCAAGCCAACGTTGCAAAGCACCTTTGCCTCCATAGCAGGTCTTTGAGGTCTTTGTCATTCGTCCACGATGCCACGTTCGTCTCTCCCATCCTACCTACCGGCTCTGATACATCCGCCATATGCTCACTACGTGTTCCAGTTCCTCTTGCTGTGACGATTCCGGCCACAGCTGCAGCATTCGCCTACGTCAACGCCAAAACTTCCCTCTGGTACGACTACCTTCTTTTCAAATCAGCTTTCAAGTCAGCCGGCCGCGTCTTTCTCCGCCAGCACCGTGGCAATCTATCCGTCTTCCACAACCTCGAGGACCGGGCCAAGCACCCTTCCACAGCCAACAAGGACCTCCTCATTTTCGAAGGCCGCCATCACACATATGCCCAAGTTTATGACAAAGCTTTGCGTTATGGAACGTGGCTGCGAAACAATTTCGGCATCAAGCCAAAAGATGTCGTGGCCATGAACTTTGAGAACTCGGATACCTTCATCTTCGTCTGGCTCGGACTCTGGAGTATCGGTGCCAAACCAGCCTTTATCAACTACAACCTTACCGGCAAATCGTTGGCACACTGCATCAAAGCATCCAAATCCAAGATTTGTCTTATTGACCCCAGCGTGGCTGCCAATCTGACGGAGGACGTGCGGGCCGACCTCGGCGACGTCAACTTTGTCATATTCACGCCAGAACTTCAAGCCCAGGCGACGGCCACGTCTCCCGTTCGCGTGCCAGACTCGGAATTGGTCGAGGACGACCTGTCCAACTTGGCCATCCTGATCTACACCTCCGGAACGACGGGCTTACCCAAACCCGCCGTGGTGTCGTGGGCAAAGGTCATTGCAGGGGGCACCATTGTGGAAACGCTGCTTGCCCGTGGAGGCAACGACATCATGTATACGGTTAGTCTCCCTGTCAATGATTGACGCGCCGCCGCCTTGACACGTACTGACAAGATGCAAAATGCTGTGTCCCGCGTGTAGTCTATGCCGCTCTATCACTCCGCAGCCTCCTTGCTGTCGTTTTGTTCCACCATGCTCGCCGGCAGCACACAGGCCATCGGGCGCAAATTCTCCACCAAGGTATTCTGGACCGAGGTGCGAGAGTCCAATGCCACCATTATCCAGTATGTTGGCGAGACGCTGCGCTACCTCCTTGCTGCACCACCCCAGTACGATGCCGCCACTGGCGAGTGCCTCGACAAGAAGCACAAGGTCACGGCAGCGTTTGGCAACGGCCTCCGCCCCGACATCTGGAACCAGTTCAAGGACAGGTTCGGGGTGGACACGATCCTCGAGTTTTATGCCGCCACGGAAGGCCCCTTTGGCCTGTGGAATCTCAGCCGCAACGACCACACGGCGGGCGCCATTGGCCGCAGCGGCCTCCTCTACGGCGGCTTGCAGTCGCTGAGCCTGTCGCTCGTGGAGCTGGACTGGGCGACGGATCTGCCTAAGCGAGACGCCGAGACGGGCTTCTGCACCAGGGTCCGGCCCGGCGAGCCCGGCGAGCTCATCTGCAAGCTCGACCCGGAGAACATCTCCCAGCGGTTCCAGGGCTACTACGGCAACGAGGGTGCGACATCGTCCAAGGTCATGCGCGGAGTCTTCAAGCCAGGCGATGCATGGTTCCGCACAGGCGACGTTACTCGGTGGGACGCAGACGGCCGCGTGTACTTCATGGACCGTATCGGTGACACCTTCCGCTGGAAGTCTGAGAACGTGTCGACCGTCGAGGTCAGCGAGACCCTCGGCCGCCACCCCTCGGTCCGCGAGGCCAACGTCTACGGCGTCGAGCTGCCGCACCACGACGGCCGCGCAGGCTGCGTCGCCATCGCCTTCGACAAGGCCCCCGACAAGACGGTGCTCCGCAGCCTCGCCTCCCACGTCCAGTCCACGCTCCCCCGCTACGCCCAGCCCCTGTTCCTCAGGGTCCTCAGGGAGGTCGGCGGCGCCGCCCAGACCACGGGCACCATGAAGCAGCAGAAGCACCTCCTGCGCTTAGCCGGCGTCAAGCCCGGCAACACCAAGACCGACGGCGAGCTGTACTGGCTCAAGGGCGACACCTACGTCCCCTTCCAAGACACCGAGTGGCAAGACCTCCAAGCCGGCCGCGTCAAGCTGTGATTTGACTCGCTGGACCGCAATGCATCCCATGCCTGCCTCCTGCTTACATCATTCATAGAATTTTTGGTCCATCATTACTCTTTTTTTTTTCCCGCCCTTGTTCATAGCCCTTGTTCCCCTTTCCATTAGCATGAGCTTCAAATACGTGCGTGCGGTAGCAGTGTCTTCGAAAGCAAATTATGTCGTTGGACTAGATTTTCGAAATAGACAAGTGTGTTCTTTTGCAATGCATCTAGATAACTTCAAGTTGAATTGCGCTTCTTTTTTCCTTTCCTTTTCTCGTGGTGACCTAGGACCGGATATAACCACGTCGCCATCCACCTGGCTTATACAACACCACATGTAGAATTTCATGTCCGGGACGACAAAGAGTTTGTCCTTGACATGCAAAAGACAATATATACGTAAAGTACGTTCCTAAATAACAACACATCATTCCCTTCCATCCATTTTTGCTTCATAAATGTTTGCCGACCCAGCTCCGTCACATCGTTCAACACACGTCATCAAGTCATTGCTTCTATAATGCTTCGTAGCAGACAGTCTTCTATCCATTAAGCACTCCAAAGGCAAGAGTACGTAACGCCATCCATCGCACAGGCCCAAAATAAGCCTAGGATCCCGCAATGCCCAGCCCTACGCGTTGTCCGCTTGGGCCGTGTTGGGCTGCCCCTCCATACGCGGCGCTTCCGGGAGGAGCCAAGCTGGCCGTGCCGCCGGTACCTGTCCTCTCGCGCATTCTTCGTCCTTCCATCAAGCCCCTGAGGCCTCGCTTCTGCAGGCCGATGACACTGCTGAGCTCGCCGTTCCAGATGAAGCTGTGGTCACGGTCGCTGCTATCAACCTCCGATCCCCATTCCGAGCCGCTCATGCTCGCCGAGGCGGACATCTCCCCACTTGACGGGCGACCAGACTTCTGGACGCCTGTGTTGATGCTGAGGCCAGATGTCGCAGCAACCAAATCAACGGCGGATTCGTTGGCAGTCGTGCCGCCCAGGGAGAAATCCGATACCAGAGTCGGCGATCCAACCGGGTCGGAGCTGCTCACAAAGAAGTTGGGGTTGAGAGACCCGTCGATGCCGCGCCCACCGCCAGCAGCCATGGCCGTGGCATTGAAGACGGCCGCAGCATTTCGGCTGTCCAACAGCCCGTGTAGACGCTCAACTACGGCTTCGAGCAAACCGTCGATACGGTAAGGTCGTGAGATCTGCAGGAGCGAGCATAAAATTTGGGGAGTACACAGCGGTGAAGAGGGTGGTGGCAACGAGCTCGTATAGAGGAAGTGCAACAGTGCTTGTACGGTCAGATAAGTATGAGGGAGATAAAGGCATCGTGGTCTTGTGTTTGGTGGCAGTGATCGGGGGGTTGGAGCAGCGTTTACGGCCGCAGGATTGATATCGTCACCTTGTCCAGTCGCACCGGCTGCCGCCGCGACGCCTAGAGACCCAGCTACCGTAGTCGCCGTCGAGAGCATGCTGGCACCACTTGAAGAGCCAGGAGGTTGTGTTGCGTCCTTGGAATTAGGTGTTATGGTCAGAGCAGACGCACGGAGAGGGTTACTCGACAATCCCGACCGAAGTGTGACAACATCGCTTCCATCCTGAGTAGCCGTACCTTCTCGCAAAAGCTGGACGAAGTAGGGTCCCCATCTGCGTGACACTATGCGAGAATTGACCGGTATTCTCTCTCCACCAATGCACAAAATGTCCATATCTGCCAGCTCGCGCATCGCCAGGGCCTTCTCGCCCAACTCCTCGCTGGCTCTTGAGTGAAAACGACCGCCAGCCGTGTACCCCGCTTTGCGCGTGAGGCTGAGGTTAGGTCCAGAATACGGACTGCTCGCGGATATGAAACCAGACATTGGACTCGTCTTACGAGGATTGTCGTAGAACCCAAAGGCCTCCAACTCAACCATGCACACGTTTGAGAAGTTGATGCGGCGGTGATTATAGTCATCGACAAGGCTTCGTTTCCGGTTCCCCAAAATGACGAATGTATTGCGTCGATTCCATAAGACACCTCGATTCCAGCTTCCCTGGCTGAATACACTGCCGCCGGCGTCGATGCGACTCCATGTTAGTGTTCGTAGATCAAGAGCCCACAGCGCGTACTCTTGCTTCGACGACGTTAGATACGTCCCGCTCACGACAAAGTAGGTGTCAATTACACCGCCGTTGGGGAATCGTAGGCCCGGGGGTGAGTACGTTCCTGACATGGGCTTCTCCACCAATGTCCCATCGGAGGACCGAATTTGCAGTTCAAGCTTGACATCTAGGAAGTTGTAGTTTGAGTAAATGAGCATAGACGAGCCGGCCTCGCGAGCCTCTGGGCTCATGATGCCAGTCCCGTCCCCTCGCTGCGAGCCATTCGGATACGCTTTGCCAATCTTGGCGGTAACAGAGGGGAGGAGAGGAGCAGCCACGCTGCGATATGCGCCACAGCTCTTCCCCAATGGTTGCGTAGAAGTCCATTTGAGGCTCCGTAGGTTGAAAACGCTAATCTGCTCGATATAATGATTCGCGCCGTCCTGCCCGCCCACAATCACCATTTCCGCACCACCAGATCCGTCGATATTGATACCAATTCGGCCTTCGTTGGGATTCGAAGATGACGGGTTATGTTGTAAAGCCGCTAGCGGAGCTCGACTCGAGGAAAAGGAAGCCGATGAGGGTAGTATACACGCGCAATGGGCATATCGACCCTGGGGTGCGTCTTGCGCTGGCAAATATGTCCATTTCCGAGTTTCAACATCGTAGATGTATATGTCAGACATGACGGAAACCTCGGGTTGCTGTTGCTGGTCCGCTGTTGGCGCAGTCTGCGTCGGACTAGAGGCGGGAGACATACCACCGTAGCAGACCATCTTGGTATCGCCCAGACCACACATGGAATGAAAATATCGAGGCGGGGGTATGTCTCCTCCAGTTTCCAGTCTCGTCCAGTGGCGTGAGATGAGATCCAACTCATAAAGGTCAGCGGTCAAAGGGGCGGGTCGACTTCGAGAGAGAATTCGTCCCCCAAATACATAAAGTTTGTCTCCCAGGATAGTAGTAGTGGCGCCGACAAGTGGAGGGGGTTCCCGGCCGGTGGTGCGATGAACATTACACATTAACCCGGACAAATGTGTCGAGGGTCCCTGGGCAGCCGTTCCAGCCGGCCTTGCTCCCTGGCCAATGGCTGGTGATGGGGTGGCTGAGGCAGGCCCATTACTTCGAGGCGTTAATCCGTCTCTATTGTCTTCGTTGGCATCATGTTTAGAAGAGCTCGCCATGCTGCCCATGCTACTACTGATATCCGGGTGGTATTGGTCCTGGGCGGAATGTATTTGGCCCGAGGCCGAGGCCGCTGCACCAGCCGAGTCCATTGTACTTGCACGGGTGTCTATTCGCGACTCAATCCGGGGCAGCTGGGGGTATTCCCCGGAATCGTCCCTGCCAGCTGACGACGGCGTGGCAGCGTCCGATTCGGGTGGCGTCTGCGGAAGTGGTTTTTCAAGACTGTGTTTGAGACTCGGCTTCCTCGCAGGCTGCGGCGGCCTGGATGTAGGCGAAGATGACCTCCGGCCATCCGGCAAAGAGTGCTGGTTTATTGAAGACACGTTGGAGGTAATTCGACTCGTCAAGTTAAGCAGAGAACGTTTGCGGGTGAGTCTCCTCGCGGGAGAATTTTGCTGAGCAGCTCGATATACTCCAGAGTTGTCTGGGCTGGCACGGTTAGGTATCGTCGCGTACCGATCGTCTGGTTCGGCCTCGGATGCTGAAGAAAGCTGGCTACTGGCACGAGATAAAGAAGGTCTCTGTGAGAGAGTCAGTCCTGGGATTAGAGCCATGTTGCGATAAAAGCTTTGCTAGGCAACACTCTGCCAGAGCAGCAGAGTGCGCCGAACAAACACGGAGCTATGCTATGTGATATGAGGTTGGGTTTCGAGAAGAAACAAGTATAGTGGAGAGAGTACAAGTAGCCAAGAAGAAGAAGCAGAAGAAGAAGAAGAAGAAGAAAAAGAGGTAGTCGAGTTCAAAACAAAAGAGACGGAACCGCGTGGCTAGCTAGGATTGATGACAGCTCTGGGATGCTTCACGAGCGACGATCGTTTCGGCTGTTGCATGAACCGAAATGGTTGGATACTGTTCCGGTACTACCCTCATGTCCTTAACAGAGAGGCACATGGCACGAGAAGGCTGCAGCTGGGATATATGCCAAACCATGCCGTTGGTTGCCTTGACCAAGAGAGATGAACAGGATCAGGCCAACGTTATTGCGGGCGAAAGCAGACCGAGCCCAGCCGTCTTGGCGAGGTCGAGATCGGTTGGACCAGGATGCCGAGCTTGGACTTGGAGTAGAACAGGCAAGGAAGGCAGCCGGGACGGGACGACAGAAGGCAAGGTTGACGGGAAGGAGAGAGGACGGGCGGATGTTTAAGAAGACAACGACAAGGGTTGTGTATCACGGAAGCCGTTGAGCACAAAATCAGGACGGGGAGCAGGGGAGCATGGATGATGAGGGCATGGGTCTGCAGAGAGGGAAGAAGCAGAAGAAGAAGTTGGCCGAGCGAAAGCGGCAACAAGCAACCAAGGCAAATCAAAAGGTGAGGCAGCGAGGCTGATGCGGATTCCTAGACTGCATCGTGGCCATGGTGGATTCGCGGCCAAACAAGGTCGACAAGGCTATGCGGCAATACAACAAGGAATATGCGCACATACATGCAGTAGCTTCAAGGACTGGATGGAGACAACCAGACTCTAGGGCGATGTGGCGACTCGAGAACAGCGCGAGGCAGAGCAGACGAGTTGACGAGCAGGCGGGCGCTGGGCAAGGGGAAGACGCAGAGAGGAAAAAAATGAGCTCGAGGACTCGTCGTAAACGTGGATAATGGTCCGACAGGGCGACCGGGTTCTGATGGCTGGGGGAGGGTTGAGGGGCCTGTCAAATCAGCGAGCGGCGCCGTTTCGACAAAGAAGCCGCTGGTTGAAGCCTGTGCTCCGTGTGCTCGGGTGCGTCTG